GTTGAATAGTGAATAAGGAAAAAATTCTGACGTAAGTTTGTGTGGGCTCTTGGAATCGCTAGAATATTCTCCTTATTGCGTAGATTGTGGGATGATATCATAAGGTATGAAGAGGTGGATACCGAAGAGTAGGAAATACCGTTAACAAGCCGGTAGATAAAGACAAGATTTAATTCGATACGTCTGATCCAAAGAGGTTCTAAGTTGAGTTGTTGACATCTTTGGTGATAGTCTTTGTTATCAGAATACCCCAGAACAGCTTCTCTGAACTTTCTTTGAACACCTTCAATTTTAAACAGGTCATTATGTCTGCAATTACGGTAAACTAAATTACCATATTCAAGAATGGGTAAGATACATTTTCTGTATAATAACAATCTTGATTCGATATTATTAAAGTTTATCATTATCAATCCGATGAGCTTTCTAGCTTTGGATACTTGAGATATAATTTGCTCAGAAAAGATCAGACTTACATAGTTCAGATTATATAGTACTTCGGTTCGCGTTGAACACCTTTGAAAGGTCCTTCGTATGCTGATTCCAGAGGCCGTCGATGTGAGTCTTAACGAACGAAAACGTGTGTAAGTCGTAAGTCAGGTTGAACGAAAACATCAGTTGATTGCGGTCGAGTGGAGACAGGTTTAACTGAACGCATTGCGTTTGTAAGCCTGTTCGTGTAGGAGGTTAAATCCGTGTTCATTGAAGAAGACGAAGGATCCACGGATTCTCCTGGAAGTCGAAGTGTTGTTCCATAAACCAGTTGAGCTTCACTGTACCCAATGTCAGTTTTTCCTGCATTGCGAATACTTAGTAAGACGAGTGAAAGGGCGCCGGTCCACCGAGAAATGTTTGCAGCTGATAGTGAAGCTTTTAGTTGTCGATGAAAGCGTTCTACTAGCTCGTATGCTTGTGGGTGGTGGGCGGTCGTTCGGAAGCGAGTGATTCCTAATAGTGCGGTCAGACAAAGGAAACGTTCAGATTCGGATTGGCGTCTGCGATCTGTTGTGACGGTTGAAGGAGAGTCGAAGTTTGCTGCCCATCGTTCGACGAAGGCGCAAGCCACTGTTTCGGCAGTAACGTCTGTAGGATACAAACTACGGTTTGGATGTTGAAGAATAGCCTTCCGTGACTTTAGACACGCGCCCTTTCCCGTCGAAATCAGAACAAGTAATCGGGTAACTAGCGGTTCTATAATTCATAATAAATTTAATGTAAATCATTACCTAAACAAATATTATCACCCGGCTATTCAACCAATGACTGTTCAATCAATTAAATCTAAACTACAATAAATAAAGAAGTTGATAGAAGATGAGGAAAAATTACCAATCACAACAAATGAACGTTATTCTATCCTGACTGGATAGATCACACACAACAGGGGGAACAAATCAATATGGCTACCGCCAAGAACAAGTGTCAAGTGAAACAACGCAGATGCAGTTCAGGAAGAAACACAAACTTAGTGAATGCGTAATAAAAACAAAAACTATAACAAAAATACAAATATTACCAATTCAAATGTAATCGAAATACAACAATGTACAACTAATGTGATCAATTGGAATAAAGTACAAGTATATACATGGAGGGATTTTCACCATCACACAACACACTCAAAATGGATCTTACAACGTCCTTGATAGGTTCTGCTTCTGGCCATCGATTGAAAAGGTCTACGCAGGTTGGGAGGTAAGACTATCCATTTGAATCTAGTAAAGGTCCTACCAAATCAAGATGAACATGGTCGAAACGAGCATCGGGAGTTCTAAATGAGCCTAAGGAACATTTATTATGTCTGATGACCTTAGATTTTTGGCAGCCTACACAGAAGCGTGCCCAGTCCCTCACGTCTTTATTCATGCCAGGCCAGCAAAACCGTTCTGCTATAAGCTTGATGGTTGCACGAACACATGGATGAGAAAGTTTGTGCGACGTATAGAAGACGTTGCATAGATAAAGTTTCGGTACGATTAGGCGATCCTTAACTATAGATGTATCACAGAGTAAGGTTTCCTTACCTATTCCCATCTGTTTGATGCGCAGCTTAAGGGCTGTTGAGGATAACTCGTGCTCAAGATCAGTGTCTTCTTTTTGAAGCTCGGCGAGTTTAAGAAGGTCGATTCCTTGAAAACTATTCAAGGAAGTTATGCGAGACAAGGCGTCCGCGACTACATTGTTTGCTCCAGAAATGTGTTGAATGTCTGGAGTAAACTGAGAAATTTAGTCCAGTTGTCCAGACTCACGTGGTGAGTACTTGTCCGACTATGAACTTAAAGAAAAGGTAAGTGGCTTATGATCAGTAAAATGAGTGAAGTGTTGGTCCTAAATAGAGTGTCGAAAATGCCGTACAGCACAATATATAGCTAGGAGTTCCCTACCGAAAGTGCTGTACCTCGATTCAGTGTCTAGCAACCATCTCGAGAAGAATGCCAAAGGTTGCCAGGAGTGGTTAACCCATTGTTGTAAGACTCCTCCGATTGCTGAGTCTGATGCGTGTACTGCGACATTAATGGGCGCTTGAGTGTCCTGATGTTGGAGCATCGTTGCCTTTGCTATGGGTTTCTTAACTGTGGAGAATGCTTGTCGCGCAGTATCGTCCAGACTAATGGATTTCGCATTTCCGCGAAGTTGGTTGGTTAGCCGTTTCATAAGTGACGCGCATTTCGGTATGAACCGTCTATGGAAACTTACAAGTCCGTTAAATGTGTGCAAATGCCCAGTCGTGATCGGTTCCGGGTAATCCAGAATGGCCGTGACTTGTTTCCTAAGAGGTCGGATGCGTTGCGCATCAATAGTGTGTCCTGGGAAATTTAAGGAGTCAGCTCCGATTTGGCATTTCTGAATGTTTACCGTGATGCCATGTTTTTGTAGTCGTTCGAACACAAGATCCAGATGCTAGAGACGCGATTCGCTGTCCGGAATGGCTATTAAGCATTCATGAACATGTGCATGTACGAAGTTGAGGCCTCGAAAAACGTTATCTATGAACCTTTGGAAAGTTTGGGCAGCATTTCTTAGACCGAAAGGCATTCGCAAAAATTTGTAGAGTCCGAAGGGTGTTATAATAGCGGGATTTTGGAATATTGTCAGTACCCATATGGAGTTGGTTATACCCTTTAACCAAGCCGATTGTCGAAAAGACAGTTGTACCTTCCAAGGTAGCTGTCAAATCGTGAATGTGAGGCAACGGGTAACGATCAAGAGTGGTTTTCGCATTCAATCGCCAATAGTCACCAGTTGGACGCCAATCATTGCTGTCCTTTTTAGGAACCATGTGCAATGAAGATGCCCATGAGCTGCTTGACGGTTGAATGATTCCTAACTCTATCATGTGATCGAATTTGCTTTAAGCCAACCTCAGCTTTTCGGGATCCAGTCGGCGTGCTTTCGAGAATACAGGAGGTCCTGTAGTCGTGATGTGATGCGTAACATTGCTGGTTACGCACGGAAATTTTGGTTGCGGTTGGTATCTCCCAGAATACGTATCGAGTAATGGTTTATAGGATGGGTCTATCGTGTGCCTGACTGTGACGGGAGATAATCTGCAACTAGAAAAAGAGGTTAAGCAAACAGATAAATTAGTGTTTCCGTCTACTAGCCTCCGTTTGCGCGTATCGATGATTAGATTGTAGTGTTGTAGGAGGTCTATACCAATGATTGGCATAGAAACACCTGCAACAACGAAGATCCAGTGAATGGATTTGCGTAAACCTACGTTAAGGCAAACGTACATTTTACCTTATGTAGCGATAGGCTTTCCGTTCGCTGCCTGTAGGTTTAAAACTGATTCATGAAGTCGGTCGTTAGGATTCCCTGGAATAACGCTAACTTCTGCGCCAGTATCGAAGAGGGAGCGAACTTTCATTAACACATCTGTGACTCATAAACGACGGCTATGTCTGCCGGCTACGGTCGCCGTGAACGCGTGCCGGCTGAGTTGTTTGATGCTTTTCTTTGTCTGAAAATACCCCGGTAGTAGAAGATTTCGTAATTTCTAAAATACTATCGGCAGATGCAGCCAGTTCGTCTAAGGCGTTGTTTTGAAACGAAACCAGTACCGCTTGCACCTGTAGGAGTTTAGACAAGAAGAGTTGTTCGAATAGGCCTTCGTCGAAAGTTCTTGGGCCTATAACCTCTCTCATCCGTTGCAACATGTCCGTCGCAGAACCATGTTGTAGGTCGATGTTATTGAAGAGTTGATCTAACCTTTGTCGATCGGTTAGGTCTCCTCGTTTAAGAATCGAACATTTTAAGGTTTCGTAAGGTTCAGAAACATCACTAGTAAACATACTAGGTGTTACGTACCTGTTGAATTCGCGCGGTAGTGCCTCGACTACTGCGAGGAATTGTGCACGTGTGTCGTTCACGCCGTGCTCGTGGAAGTCGGCTTCTGCGTAACAGAACCAGGCTTCGATATTGTCGGGCCAGAAAGGCATGAGTTGGAACGAGGGTGGGGATATGGTTTTAATCTTAAATACTTTAGGAGTCATTTCGGTCATAGGGGAATATTAGGTACGAAAATACGAGGGACTAATATATAGATATTTTAAAACACGAGGAAAAAATATCACAATGTATAAAAAAATAAAAAATAAGGTAATAGTATATATAAATCCGAAAAAAGAACGGACTCACAGTCGCAATTAAGTGTACCAGATCACGTCGGGCTCACCAATGAAGATAACACAGGTATTCAGTGTTTGACAACGCTTCTACCAGTAACACCTTCTAATATAATTCGTTCCCACCCAGAGAAATCAAAAGACAGAGTCAAGGAGATCGGAAGAGTATATTTGGCGATTACCAATGTATCGGAATTCTCTGATCTAATCTGGCTAGCGATTGCGGTAGATGTTGAGCACGGCGTTACCACACGTGATCTGGTGCGGATGCCTGACCGAGCGCCTTCAGCTAAGTTAGTCCATTAAAACCAATGTGGCCAGCATCCAATGCCGAAAACTTACCGAGCTATTTATTTTGAGGATTTATTTACCGCTACAGCTGTGACCTTCAGAATCATGGTCTTTATCATTTCATATGTTTGTCTCATGAGTATTCTTTAGTAGATAGCAGATTTCCCTTGGTACAAATAAATATGTAAATCTATATTTATGCATGTATATATATCCAAATATTATAACTTAATGACCCGTGAAAATGGCGATATGTAGATAGACATGCGAATATGACTTTCTCACTGTAGTGCTTTGTAATAAAAGTAGCTTTAACTTCAAAGTTCGGGATAAGTAACTGTTATTATCATTACTGATTTTAGAACACGTCAGTGTCCACGGCGAAGGAAAACTGCATGGATCTAATCACCATTGAGGTCACCACCTATGAGATTGACTCAGTTTGTAGAGTCCTTTGCTTTCCGTCTTTGTTTGTCATTTTGTACTACTGACTTGTTTGAAGTCACAAATATCATTAAGAGCACATGGACATTGGGCATTCGTCAAAGTTCCTATAATCCACAAATTAAAACTAATGGATTACGTTTGTGCCTAGTTCAAGGAATAAAGCTAATACGTACCATTTATTCTCTAGGAATCAGTTGACAACTTGTTTTATGAATACCGATTAACTAAATTCATTAATTTTCAGATCTGGGAATCACGACGTTTTGACTGAATGACAAAAAGTTCGGTGTTCGTAAACTAGATTAATCCAATCAGTTATTGTAAAAAAACGGTTTCCAAGTTTCACTATTTCCATTTGAATAGAACTCATGTGGACTCCCCCAGTTAGTGATAATCCTACACCTTTCAACATTGAGCGAGAGCTGCTTCCTACAGTGATTTCAGAACCATCGTCCAAAACATCTAGTATATCTTCAACTACTAGCACTTTGGACCATGATTCTTTAAAGGAGAACTGCCTACAATATACTCCACAAAACGTCAGATACCAGCACTACCCAGTTCCGGTAATTAAAAGTACTTTGTTTTTCATGTGCCATCTTATGTATATGAAATATATTCACACAGTCAGTCAGCTACAACGTAGGACCAGGCACATATATGCATCGGTCCAAGTTGCCATACCTCATTAGCACAACAAGATGAACACCAGATTCATAGGAGTGGTTAGGTCAATGGTGGTAATATATGAAAGGAAGATTGCGTATGAGGATGTAGTTCAGGAAGAAAGAATTAATTCGTTGAAAGAGAGATATGAAGTGATTTTAATCTCTTAGTTTAAAGGAAGACAGGGAGTGTATACACCTACGCCATTGTGATAGATTCTGAGCCATGTCACAGAGTCTACAACCGTCAGTTACAAAAGTCACGCGGACCCCAACCAAGTAGCCTGCATCTACCAACATGGCTCAGACCAGATGTTAGTGATATTCACACATGTTAGTTATCACTTCACTGTATTCTCGCCGACATTTCCTATCCTTTGTTCTACGCACGATTTTTTATCTAATACTCACTGAGTTAATTGGTATCGACCCGAAGTTGAAATTTCCAGAATATCCTCCTAGGTACTAGTTACGAAGGTTATTTCACTTGTACAAAGAACTGTAATGGAGTCGATCTGCTTTCCTTCTGTGATAATCGCTTTATTGATCGTTCATTTTAATACAGCTTATTAAACGATGATTATTACTGATTTATAGACGAACACGGTTGACTCCATCTATTAATTAATTATAACTAATAACCAGATACATTGATGTGTACATGGTTACCAAGTAATGGAAAGCTTGTCTAAATATTATTACATATATCTATAAATAATACATTAGAGTCATTCAGGTCTGGGATGACTTTCAGTTTAAGTTGCTACACCATGTCAACATACAGAAAGAAAAATCCGATAAGAAATAAAGAGAAAATTGACATCAGTGTAAAAATAAAAAATAAGTATATTATAGGGACAGTAAATAAAATCAAAAGACAAAAATTACCAAGTAACTTTAAGCTCATAGTTTGGACTTGTACTATCAACAACATCACAGTTATTAAAGGTCATCAACTTAATTGTTTATGGAATGGGTTTATTTCACTAATTGTTTCATATTTTATGGGTTCGGGTTTTCGTTGGTACAAGTTCTCTCCATTTTCAATTTTTCGACCTAAAACATGGATAGAAGCAGTCATTTAGGAACCCAAAAGTAAGTAATGGGTGGTGCTAATAGCAGCCTTAGTAACCAGCCCGTTTCCCTAAAATTTTATCATTTCGTGGACTGTATATTAGAATTCGTATAGCTTACCATGATTTTCTATTCATCAACTCAACTTGAACTTATCGATGCGAATATTACCTTTCAAAGTAAATTTTCGGAAAAACCATTCGATTACTTCATTCGTTGCTGAACTAGTTTATTTAGGTGTTTATACCTTTAGAGATTTGAATGTGGTTCAAATAGATATTAGTTAAAGCCTAGTAATTAAAGTTTTGTCTTTACCTGACATATTTATGTTGCTTGCGTTAGAGTTCTGATGCCCGATATAGCTAGTAATACTAGTGGGAGTAAGTTGGCAATTAACAAAAGTTTGAGGGTGTAATACATGTGTTGTGCAAACATCGATTTACCGGGTGCATATATTCTTATATCAGTGGTAAATATAGTCTGTTTAGTCCATTCTCTGATGACATGTAGTTGTGTGTAACCACTCTATTAATGAAAATCAATTTATCTCATATAGATGAGTAACTAATTTATAGCGTGAACAGGTAGCTAATAATATCATCATCCCTTGTTTTAAGCTTTTAAAATTCCAGTTTTTGATAATGGACAAGCTTTATGTAAAGTGATCATCTCAAGAGCGGTTGATAAGAAGGGTATATTGTAAAAAAGTGTGTTGTGTAATTTTAATGTTTCAGTCTCTGGCCGAACATAAGACAAACCCAAATCCAATGAATCTAGCAAGTAATTACCACGGTTTTATGGGTAATATTACGCTTTTTTTGGAAATAAAGTACAATTTAGAAGATACTACTTTGTGAAATATTGTTCTAAAAGAGTGCTAAAATACAAATTCAACATTGTTTTATTAGTTCAAGTAGATTTACTAAAAGCTCATTAAGTAGGAATAAAAATTAAGCTAGTTGACAATGCTATATTTACCACGTACTTTTACTACCAATCATATATAATATCTTTTAAACATTTTTTTCAGAAGGTTCGATGCTTATCGTTCCCATACCAAACACTTCCCTCCTGTGGGTCGACAGTGTATTTGTATACTTGGTCTCTCCCAAGGAATGACATAATAACTCAGCTATGTTCACTTGCCACAACATGTTTTCGAGACACAAACACAACTATCGGACTTTTGTTTTCTAAACAAATATCCAAAGTAATTATATGTGCATGAATATCTGTGAATTATTTGTGTATGTTTCGATCCTTTGACTAGGTATTTTATGGTACTTTATTCTGCTTGTCATCGTGATCGTGCAAGCTATGGTGGTTCTAGTTGGCTTCATAATTAAACCTGATTTTTCTAAGGTTTAGTTAACGAAAGAAGTAGTTCTTTATAGTCTTCACATTTACTATTTTAAGGTGACCTACTATATAATGTCTACTTTTAGCAAATGTTTAGTTGCCGATAGTTAGCTAGTTATGTGTCATAATCAAACCTCCGTATTGGTACGATTTAACATTGATACATAACTAGATGTTGCAAGACTTTCGTCCCTGAAATCAATGCCCATTCGTATGAGCCATTTAGTGAGGTTCAAGCTTCTTCGTTTGCTTCCAAAAGGTAATTATCATCAGCAGTTGGAGAATAGATTACACAATTGAGAATCAGTCGTAGTAATCTCAATAAATTTATTCTAGTTACGAATCTAGTCTTTGATCCACTTACTTTGTTTATCGCTTTTATCTCATCTGTTGTCCTCTAGCTTTTCTACCATTATTATTTTTTTCTTGGTTTTCTGCCTATTAAGTTTTTGCGATTTTAATATGATTTACAATAACTACAACCATCTTACATTGAAGGAAGTTCTGCACTGCTTATGTTTGTCTGTCAAACCAGAATATACTATTATTCCAGGAAGCTGGTCACTATAGGTTCTATTTATTCAAAAGACTAGTGACTTACTAAGTCAGTTACCAGGAATGACATTAATCTGTTTGGAGAAGGCAAACATTATCCGCCAAATTAAACCCTACTAGTCTAAAATAAACCACTTCCATATGAATTCTACCTTATTAATTCATAGGTAAATATCGGCTTTTTAAGTGCCCCCAAATACCCTGGTATGCTTGAGAATGGGGAGAGTCAGCTCTTCTCAAAATGCTCTCACATGGCGACGCGTATACGGCCTCTGCCAGGGAAGTCCTACTCACTGCCTTCTCGCGGCAGGGGTGTTGTTTACGAAGTTGAGAGGACGAAAATTGAATGTTCGGCGCTTTAGCCGGGTTGGTGGACACGGGGGATTCACCTAGAGGAGTTGGGAAACCATGATTCCAAACAAATGGCGCACATGGGCTCCAGGATCCTGAAGGAACAGATGGTGTGTGAACCAATTACTGGTAGCCGGCTACCATGGGACTGCATATCCTTACGTTGTTCCACTGCCTTAGGGATCAGATCTATGGGTTGAAGGCTCCAGGCGTGGTCCCCTAAGAAGACCACCTGCTTCGGTCTGAGCACCCGGGTAGTATCACAGCCCACGTACAAATCAAGTGACTTGTGTGGCGCATATGTATTCGGTGCCCTCTTTGTACCAACATTTATATGTTCAAATAAGTAAATGAATTTTATGAGAAATTACTATTATTCAAACGAAGTTCAGTCTAAGTTTTTATACATATGATTTAGAGTACTCATTTTATTTCGAACTCACTGCTTATGGTTTACGTAATTCGTGGTAGAGATCATAAAGGTCTTCCCATATGTTTTATCATGTCGCTACTACGAGTTGATGTACTAATACCGAATAAGAGTTTGTGTAGATATTTCGGAAGTCATGTTCATAACATCCATTTTACACCCTGATAATTCCCACCATCTACAACCTTTTTTAAGTACAAAATTAAAATACAAGAATAGATTGATTGTTTCGGCATACATTTAATCGGGTACATTTCGTTTTGATCACCCCTCTATTTTTACACTTAATGCACGAATAAACCAGCAACGATGTCACAAACTAATTACCTATCTGCTATTTTCATTTCGCTTTAGCGTTGACGAGTAATTGTTGGTCTGGACGCAATGTAGACGAAATGAGTAAGGTATTCATGCTACTGAAGTCGTGGTTTTAAGTTGACACTAATTGGGTTATATGAAATACACGTTTTATGTCTGACATAACTCACTCATTGTTTCCATCAGTTGTGAGCTATCGTTTTGTGATAAAAATTGTCTAACACAGACAGAGGTCAAACATCTTCGGCTCCGGGGTCAGGTTTTATAGATGTTAAACAAAACTGTTTACATTACACATCATTACACAGCTCACCCTTTGAGAGGTATCTTTATGGGACGAAATAGGCTGAGATTATCATAAAGCAAGCTCAGATTCATCTGTCACGCCACTATCAATATATATGTACTGTTTTCCGTACGCACGATTCGTCCTTTATTTTAGAGATACTGCTTGTTGGTTTGGGCATCACTGACCTGTGAATTCTAAGTTTGAACTCACATAAATGATTTTTGAGCACTTAATCAGTATTATTAACCTACATAATTAGTATGGTTAACGTAGCTCTGATTTAAAAACCCATATATGGTTATCGAATCATATTCTGTTTCCTTTATTGACAATATTTCATCAAAAAAATCAAAAAGTTCTCAAAGGAAAGCTTATCAACAAATTTTCTATTTTCTCTCATTTTGAAATACCAATAGAAAGACTACGTTTGTCGAATTCCTATCTACCTAACTCGCGGTATGGCTCGTTCACGTGTTCGATTAACAGGGAAACTTACACTAAATAAGAAAGAATTAGAGTGTGTCGAATCAGCTCATCATGTTATAGCCGAATTAATTACAAATATTGCTCATATGTCTCATGTTGGTTATAAACCATCAGATCCTCTTCTCCGTGCTCATTTCGATAAACAAAACTCTTCAACGAATATCCCCGAATCTCTCCGCGTCGTACTTTTTGATCGATTTGGTGACTTATCATTCAATCCCGAGAAAGCAAATATCCTGTCATTGGTGACGCTGATTAGACTACCAGGTAAACCGTACAATCTGTTTAGTTATATGATACTTTTTAGAACTTCCGTGTCAGTGTTAGTTAGTACTAAAATGAATGTTGTTTAGGGTTTATAGAAATGCAATAAATATTATAATAAGTGGCGTGTTTGGATCAATAATTGTTTTAGCTATATACAATATAAAAAGGCTTCTGTAATGTAGTGGTGAAAAATCGTAGACGCTTACGTGCCGAAATAACTGGGCACAGGTGAGTGATAATAAGTAATGAGTTAAAATAAGTCAGTTTTTGGAATGAAATTGAAAATGGTGGAAAAATATTGCGGTGAAGAAATGAAAAGGAGTCTAATGTTATAAAAATAAGCTACGAACACAAACCAGGTTTCGTGGGTTCAATACCTGTAGCTTTAATGTTTCAACACATTGTTTCTTATTGTGATTTGATTTGCCGTATGATAACTTACCTTAACTTTTACGGATAAGCCAGACAGTCATGAGATTTATTTGCATATTTGCTCCTGTGTGTTCTAATTGTGAAGAGATCTAGTCCTAGTTGTTATTTTTCCCAAACTTCTACCGTTTATTAAACTTTGTTGGTTCATGCGATTTGTTTTGATTTCATTATGTTCCGTGAATCCCCTGATTAGGAGTGTCATAATTGAAGGTTGTTGATTTATTATTCTAATAGTATCTGTATTTACCGATCTTCATTGTAGCCTTTGGAATGTTCCTGTTTTCTCTTGAATATAACGAATATATCTAGTGTATTTAAATCTCGAAACTTCCATGTTCCGCTTCTAAGCAAACATCTTTAACATTGCATTTCCTATTCTTATCGATAACATCGTGAAGTTCGACTAAACGACCTTACTAATTTGCAAATTTCTACTGCTAAACTAAAATATGATTATAAACTAACTACTCTTTAGAGTTTTGTTGGCTGGGAGCACCATGTACGGCATTTTGCGTCCTTGGTATTACATTTAGTGCCACCTTCTTGTGTACATGTTATTCATGTATTTCGACTAGTTTCTGTCTCTGTGTAATTAAATTAATCTATCATACCTACCCATTTTCGTTACACTAACTTATTTTTATTTATTTTTTTTTTGAATGGGGATTTGTGGAGATGGTAATAATTTTGACAGTTTAATTCATGAGCCGATCTAAGCTAGATCACCATTGAAAGCCTGGAAGCACTGGATGGCTGTTTCGTCCTGGTCAGGGACTCCTCAGCAGCTTAGGTCGACTCACTAATTTAACTGTTAACATCACTACAATCTCCACGAATCCCTATTCTGATAACAATCATGTGCTCATTAGTGACTATCTTCAAGATGAATTTCCTGAAATTCTAATGAGAAGCCATGACAAGTTGTGTCCAATCTGTGTCGGGTGTAAAACGGTTGTCCATCAGTAGATGTAGGGTTGCACAAGATCATGGGTTGGTTGAAGTTCATGCTCAAGACCGAAGGTTCCGGGCTCGAGTCCCCCTTGCGGAATCGTGGATGTGCACTTCTGAGGGGTCCCATACCAGGACGAAACGACCGTCTGATGCTTCCAGGTTTTCACTGGTGATCTAGTTGAGATAGACTCACAAATTCAGCTGCTCAAATTCATTTATTTGTTAAGGTCTTATCAATGAATGCGAGTATCTCAGTGTTATGATTGTTAGGTAATATGTTTTCTTAGGGGGAATAATGTTACGTGGTTCTGATCTGTAGTAGATTCCGATCATGCTAAAGTCTTTATCGTGTATGGTTAACATTTTATTGTGGTAGAGCGTTAAGGTAGTGGTATGGTTTTTTAAAGTGCGTAAGAAGATTAGGTTGGGAAAGACGTGTACAATTAATCTAATGTTTCTTGTCAACCACGGCTGATCGATCACAAATCAGAAATGATATTTCGCTTTTTGAACACAAACCTGACGATCAACGTTTTAATTATGTTTAATCGAAATCATAAAACGACCAATGTTAGACCATCATTGAAGACTTGGAAGGGCTGGACGATCGTTTCTTCCTAGTACGGCACCCCTCAGCAGTAAGCATCCACGATCGTGCACGCGAACACTTGACCTCTAAACCACTGAGCCAGCGTCCTACAGTGTTAATGTTTAACTTCAATCAATCCACGATTTCAATTATGCTCCAATCAGGTGAATAAGACCCTACCTTTCACTGTGTAAGTGGCTAAGAATCTCTGTTAGTCGATCAACTTTCAGGGACACAGAAATCTCGTATGTTCATGAACTCTATTCGTGCTCTTCCATTTTTCTACCTTTACCAACTAATTTTTACACATTTCCAGTCACTGCTGTGTAGACGTTTACTTTCATCTTAAAATTACTAATCAACAGCATATAGGTATCTGTTTTTCGTAGTTTAACCAAGAAGTGTCTCGTTCCTCTGGTCGTAAGTTAATGGTACGAAAATTCATAGGTCACATTTTAACATATTATGGTCAGATATGGTTTTGTGGTGCGTGCTACTTATATTGATATAAGTAGTATATAACGTGAGTCAAAAGAACGTAATGGCTGGCAGCAGAAGATGGAGAAGATCAATAAAAGAAGAGCGAGAAAACAATGGAATTTGTAAGAAATCGCATGAGCAATGAAATGCGAGACAATGGATTGATGTTTGCAACAGCAACAGCCCGGTTTGATATGATAGAATGATATTTTGCAAATTAACGATTTAATATATGGTTTTTCTATTTTACCAAGTAATTCTGTAATTTGTCCTAAATACAATTTGGCTGTCCTCACCCGTGTTCTTCTTCACTACAGTTTCACTGCGACTTGAGACTGATTTATTTAGTTATTTCTTATTTGAAAACCTGAGTAGGATGTTTCGTTTATTTATTTATTTATTTGAACACATAAATGTTGGTACAAAGAGGGCACCGAATACATATGCGCCACACAAGTCACTTGATTTGTACGTGGGCTGTGATACTACCCGGGTGCTCAGACCGAAGCAGGTGGTCTTCTTAGGGGACCACGCCTGGAGCCTTCGACCCATAGATCTGATCCCCAAGGCAGTGGAACAACGTAAGGATATGCAGTCCCATGGTAGCCGGCTACCAGTAATTGGTTCACACACCATCTGTTCCTTCAGGATCCTGGAGCCCATGTGCGCCATTTGTTTGGAATCATGGTTTCCCAACTCCTCTAGGTGAATCCCCCGTGTCCACCAACCCGGCTAAAGCGCCGAACATTCAATTTTCGTCCTCTCAACTTCGTAAACAACACCCCTGCCGCGAGAAGGCAGTGAGTAGGACTTCCCTGGCAGAGGCCGTATACGCGTCGCCATGTGAGAGCATTTTGAGAAGAGCTGACTCTCCTCATCCTCAGCCGTACCAAGAAATTTAGGGGCAGGATTTTTTTTACAATCTAACTGGTAGACTTATAGTTTTGTCGTTAGACGCAACCGAACCCATCTACTTCAATGCGATGTTAACCTATGTAAAAATAGTTTAGAAGAAGGCTAGTAGCGGTCAGACCAAAATGTGGCATCAGTCTATGAAGTCACTGACAATTGAACTGAGCCATATAGGTAGGTATAGAATACATGGTCGTGACAGCGTGATTATCGTAACTAGTAGTTAGACACTTTGAATGTCGTTGGCAAAATCGTTTGCAAGGGCACATATGGATTTACTCTTTGTCTTCCCCTAAGTTTCAGGTTTCTAAATTCCTCATAATCTTTTTATTTCACTAACTTACATTTTCTTCGTCTTTTTGTAGAGTCCATGTTTCCAAATTCCTCAACCATTTTCTCACTATTTGTGTTGTGTTTTCTTGAATCGTATCCTCCATGCCCAATTTTTTCCGTTACCACTGATACTATCTCAACTACCCTGGACTTTGTCCTTAAAATTTCATTTTGTTGCGTCACTGCGGTTCGGCGAATCGAACCGATGTACATAATTACCGAGTTCTACGTTTCGTTCGATTGACTATTTGAAATTAGAATTCATACTAATAATCGCTTGGTTTTAAATCTCAAAAGGTGTTTTTTTCACTTAGGATTAAGAAGCAGCTTTTTCTGCGTTGTGTAATTTTAGCGGAATATGGATTGTGTTGGAGCACATTGATCAACCATTTCTTAGCTAATTAGCGCCAGCAGATACTTGGAGAAGGCTTCTTGTTTAAAATTCCAAATATGCTAACGTATTTCTTTTTATAGTTCCTACTCCCATTCTATCTTGTTTGTGTGAAATATAATTGCGTTCCTGTTCAACCGTGTTCTGGTTTGAGGACTTATCGAGTGAAGTAAAATGTTCTAATAACACTTAGCAATCAGAACAGCTGGGTCATAATTAAAGAGATCATAACGTGTATAATCAAAGATAATCTAATATACGTTTACCGGTTATTGAATATATGTTGTCATTAGTACGTTCTCACTACATGTATTGCATTTTATTCGTTTTATGTCCTTATCAGTTATAACCATATAAGATGCTCATTTTTGTCTGTGAAAATAGTCTCATTTGGTGGTCGTTTTATATTGTATTGATGGATAGTTAATTTTGGGTTAGACAAAATAAAGACAATGCACGGGAAACTGTTTTGTTTTCTACGAAATCGTATTCGTAGTTGCTTTACATGTAGTTGCCTACGATAAAAGCATCAGTTTACCTTTGATTTGTCTGTTCATCAGATATCTATTGAAGAATATAGCTTATTGTTCATTTGAAGTCAATATTTTCCTCAGTTCCGATAATCGAGCTTTCCAGATTGTTTTGCACCTCAGCATGTATTCACCAGTTTACTTGTCCTTATGGAGCATGCTGTAGCGGGTCCACAAACTGTGCCCCTTCCAAGCGCTTATCCCGAAACTACCTAGCATAGCTATCCACAGGTAATTACAAATCGGCTATTATTTCCAAAAACTGGGGTTAATTTTGATTTGGTTATTTATTCTCTGATGAAGTAGCTTACACTAAGTCATGAAATGTCAGGAAACCTAATTTTTCTACTCATTGGGATATTACAAGTATATCATTTATTTATTATTTCCATTGTTGAAGATATGGTCATATACGTCCACCGGAATGTTCATATGCAATTATTCACTAAGTTTGAATAACTTGTTCTAAAGAAAGCTGGATGAAAAATCTATGCACAATAGAGGCTTTGGCAATTAATTAATTCAATCCTGGTCTTTGTGCTCAGAAGCGGTGTCCAATCTCCCATTTTAGTGTAGTCCTAACATCTCTTATTTTATAAGTTGTTATTGATACATCTTTTTCTCTTTTTATTTGTTAAGTGGACAATTTCTCACATCTCCCTCTTAAATATTTCTATTCTTATTACACCGACTATTACGCAACTTTATCAGACACTTGGAATTTTTGGCTAACTTTTGACACTTCAATCAATCACTTTATACCTTTCTGTTTTATTATAGACTGTTTTGCATAAAATAACCAGGAATACGGTTGTACAACTTTTGTAATCGATATCGTTGGAAAGCAGATTTTCTCCGAATTGTCTTTATTTTATACTAATATTGTCAAGATTAGAACGAATAGTTTGACAGAAATTGGGCGCCGAGTATAGAAAAGTCATTATATGTGAGAATTATATTTGAAATAATCTCAGCTATTATTACCCTGAAGAAGTCCAGACAAGTTAACTGGACGAAACGTCGGAATTATTTAAATTTCGATCACTGAGATTATTTGAAATATAATTTTCACATATAATGTCTTTATTTTGCTTAATTTCGGGCTCAAGATAGATGCTTATGAGTTAGAATAATAATTCCGATAGAACAAGTTGCCGTTAAATCTACATCGTAACCCTTGTTTCTGACATAACTATTAGAGATCATGACATTCAGTTTGTTCTCAACCTTAAATTGCAAATTACATGGTATATCTTATGATTGTGCAAGATACTTTTAAATGTTAATGCTGGATATATTTTATATACCTTATCATTTTAGATTATACTATCGATTATGAAGCACTCAACGCACTTCTAGAGTGGTCTGTTTGCCGAGATACTGGAATTTCAACAGCTGATGATAATTTGTCCACGTATGTTAAACCTGTACATGGTATTGTGCCTAAATGGCGAATTCGATTAAGTCAAATACCTGAAGACAATTGGGTTGGTTTGGTCGTCAAACCTAATCACTTACCGGATAGTGATCCTGGTATGTTTTCTATCTCAAAGGTTAGTTCGGAAACTGCTTCAAGTCCTCTTCCGGAAACCCTTGCTTCCAAACTTGGTGATGTTCAAAATGTCAAAGGCGCTTCTTCTCTAACTTATTCCGACTACTATAGAATTAAATATCAACAGATGAGAAACATATCTTTCACAATAAATCCATCACTACCATTGTTTGAATGTCTGAGAATAACACGTCATCAAAATTCGACTCAAGTTAGTGCGGGTCTAAGGAAAAATAAAGCATCTATCAAACCATCAGTGTTCCTATCTGATGCTTGTTTAGTGCATCCATTGTCATCATGGATTTGGTTCCAAGTTTCCTTGATACCAACAATTCTCTACCAAATGTCACGAGCGTTACTAGCCTCACAACTGTTCACAGAGTTGAATTATGAACTGAAAAGTCCTCAACCATTCTCTCAAATTAAAATAAATTCATTAACTCTAAGCAATGATTCACTTTCTCATACAACCATACTTGTCCCTGATCGTTTAAGTGTTCCTGTTTTTTTGAATGGTGAACCAATGGAAAAAAATATCTTTGATTTTGAAGTGGATGAAACAACTTCAGAAATAGATAAACAATTGGATAATAAAGCCTATAGTGAAAGTTTAGAGAAATCTACAATTTGCCCTCACCCTAATAATCTAATTGAACCAACTACATTACTCGGAGCTCGAGATGCAGTAGATCTTGAACGTTTAGAATTTTATGGCGATTCATTCCTGCATTTTATATCTACATTATGTGTTTATGGCACCAATCCACAAGATGCTGACGAAGGGTGTTTAAGTTCCAAAAGAGGTTCACTTGTATCGAATGCTCATCTCTGCGATATTGCTTGCGACTTGAAATGGTATGAATATTGTACCGGTCAAACATTTTCGCCACCAGAACACTTTTTACCCCCATGCTACTCTGTTGCGTCCGAGGTTAGTGACAAACTAAGGTTTTTTCAGTGTTTCTTTACTTACGTCCCAAAAATTTCACTTATTTGTTCTTAATTTGCTTTATTGAATATAAATATATTCAATAAAGAACATTTGGCAGTTCTTTACTTCACCATATTATACAGCTTCCATTTTCTTATTTTCGAGTATTTTCATATATTATTTCCCGATTGGTACATAATGAAGTCTGTTATTTAGCCACATATTCTTTTTTTTGTGTACTCTTACGTGTATCCCTTTAAACACACTCATGGATTTTTTAAATATAAATTTTATGTTAGGTGAATTGGGAAGTCGCATTCCATCACATTGAGCGTAGGCCCAGTTATATTTACATTTTAACAAACAGGACAATTGAAACCTTTGACAGTGAAGAAATAGAACTCAACCTTTAATTAGTTATCTTCTTAATTTCCTTAGTCTCATCTATCAACTTCACTTGATTGCCCTCTGTAGTTGAATTTCTATCAAAAATAATACTCGAAATAATTTTATTTGGTACGGGTAAAGTTTCTTCTCATTTGTTCAGGAAGTTTTAGGATCTTCATAAAACAGACTTTGAAGTATATCAACTGTTAGTCAGACCAGGTTATAGTCCGGTTTGAATAAATCAGCGAATAATAATAGTTATGCCTATTCACTGATACAACTATTTGTGACTGGGAATCGTTCATAGTGCAGTTAAAAAACATAAACCATGTTTCAGTTATGATTGAACACTACTTTCTTTTCGGTACTTTTCATATTTTACTCTCAGTAAAACTCTCCTGTTGTTACGTTAAACTTTTTGAGTACAAGTCATCCAAGAATAAGTTTATATGCATTCGAATCAGTGTTTTATGTGTATTCGACGATAACTACCACCGTTGATTTGCCCTTTAGCAATTATGGTAGGTCTTACTATATGTGTATGCTTCTTGGGACCGGTTTCGTTTCACAAGACGTTCCTTTAAAATGTATTTGCCTAGATAAAATTGGCACGATATGTATTAGAAATAAATCTGTGGGTCTAAAATTTAGTAAAAAGCACTTCAAACTTCATTTATTTATTTGATGTTAAAAAATTGATGGATAGATTATTAGACCTCATTACTAGAGTAAATCATAATTCAGCAACTTTTTTAGGTAGCTGACCATATTGTCTCTCGTTCAGATAGCTGATCATCAACATGCTTATTTGATCAAGATACTTTCTTTTATTTCCGTGTTTGTATTAACATAAACGTAGATCAGTCATATTCACGTAGTGTTAATTTCATCTGATTTTTCTAATCCGTCAGCACCGAGTTTGACTATTCATTAGATAAATGCTCAGTAATTTAACATGGAAATAATATTTTCTTTTTCATGCGAACATTCATTGTTAACATTGTTCCAGTTTACATAAGTTGATTTAAGTCTAGAATAAGGACAATGGGGAGATGCTTTTAATATGAAGTGGATGTAAAACGGTTGTATGGATCAACGATGAATGCACAACAGCACTTCGACGATGATAATCACATGAGGCTGAGAATTGAGAAAGCGAAATTTTTTAAAACTTTAAGGCAGTTATGCAAGTAAACATTACAGTGTGTATATTATTGTAAAAGTAGCCAATTAGAATAAGTGTGGATTACATGGTATTGCTGCATTACAAAGGTCAAAGTAATATTAGGTGTGTAAAGAAGAAACTAATATTTTTTGTGGTTATACCACAATGCCACAACAATTTTGATATAGTTCACTTGGTATTATTTTACTTGAATCTTCCCATTGATGTTTTAGGACTGAAATTGATCAGTCTCTTATTGGCATATGTTCATACCGTGCGTATGTCTCGATATTGCCTTAATTTACAAGCATTATAAGCAAAGATGGATAGTGGCTAGCAGTGGAATCCAGGACGCGCGTTTCGTCCTGTTTGGGACTCGTCAGCTTGCAAATTAAGGCAATATCGAGACATACGCACAGTGTGAACATATGCCAATAAGAGACTGATCAATTTCATTCTTAAAACATCAATGGGAAGATTCAAGTAAAATAATACCAAGTGAGTTAAACTTCACCCCCATTGCACAAGCAAGTGGCTATCAGGACTCAGTAACTAAGTGGATAACGCGATGGCGTTTAAAGCGAACGGTACTGAGTTCGAGTCCCAGAGTGAAAATCAACTCTGAGATGCAGGTTCATCCAGCTGACGAGTCCCAAAAAGGATGAAACGCGCGGCCTGGATTCCACTGCTAGCCACTATCCATCTTTGCTTAATTATGATATGAGTTGACCATGACAGATTGTGTAAATGTACCTCCGTTACCATGCAAAGATGATTTGTATGAATGACTAGAAGTCATACCTTTTCTTTAAGTAATGGTGGAACTACCTAGCTGGTTGATTTAAAAATAAAAGAGGTGTGGTTCAAACCCTCAAACAAACAGTTGAAGCTCATGTATGTTAACTAATAGGTCATCACTGTAAACAAAGATATCAACTTGACCAATGTGTTTTGCCGTTCGATTCATAAGGCATACTCAACCTACTATGAAAAAGAGTAGACTAAACTTTGTAAGGAAGTTCCCGAACCGAATAACAATGCACATAATTCATGAGTGTATTTGCGATTATTCTTCTAACTTTGAATACATGGATACATGGACTGAGACTTTGAATATGGACATAAACGATTTCCTACAACACCGTGTTTTAGAATTTCTTATCTACCATTGAACTTCAAAATGGCATGTGAAAAAAAGGCACGTGATATACCTAGACTCACCCAGCCTATCATTTGATAGATATAGTCAATCGACAATACACTTTTCACCTTCAATGTGACAACGACGCTGGTTACTCAGAGCACATTTGACCAGTTAATATTCATTAATTTCCTACCATTTAATTATTTTGTGTATTTTTCCTTTATAGGCTAGTAAATATGATCCACGTCTGTATACTCGTTTAACAGATAAATCTTTGGCAGATATGATTGAAGCACTTATAGGATGTTTCTTACTACGTTCAGGACTATCTGCTGCATTTAATTTACTTCATTATTTTCAAATATGTCCAGTTAGTTGGAGCACCCTAAAAAGTGATAAGCATTACAAAGTTGAAGCTCCATGGCACTTTTTTTTACAACCAAAATTATATTCAGAACTAAACTATGGAAATGCTTTCAATCCTTCATCTAGATCCTTACATATTTCGAAGGAAATTATACTGGAATTAAATCAGAGGTTTTTTCAGTTACAAGAAAAACTAGGTTATGGTTTTAAAAAAATCGAATTGCTTGCGGAAGCTGTGACTCATCAGTCATCATCTAATAGACAATATTGGGGGAATTATCAAAGGTACGATGAGTTACATAAGCTACAACTATCCCTACATAATTTAATGTATAGTTTCACATAACATGATTTGGCAAATTGTTTGAAGCATCTCATTTTCACATTATATATGTATAATTTTTAAATTGTATAAAATTTACATTCAAATGAACTACACAGAACCTTTATTTAGACGATTATTTATGTTTCATTCGTTCAAATTGATTAGTTAAGTTTGTGCTTATCGTAACTATACTTAGGATTAAAGTTCTACGTAAGAATTTGAACTATCATAGACATTTCTCTCACAGGATAAGCATAAAAATATATTGACTGATCAAATCATAATATTGAATCCATCCGAGCTTTTTTAATTTAGTATAGTATGTATCAAATAATAATGCGTTAGAAAAAAGACAATAAAATACCCGGCAAACGCAAGTCTAGTGAAAGTCTAATCACTAGTTAAATTGAAATTTTAAAAAATGAAATTTTTTAGTAGACAACTGTTTTCAATAACTTTATCATCAGTCTCTACAGTTATAAGTCCATAATTATCGTGATATTTTACAAAGGTCAAAATAAGGCATGTATTAATGAATTTGACAATATTATGTGTTAAAATTGGTGAACGTTTGCATCTGTTACGACATATATACTTCGAAATGGTGTTATTTGCAAATTACAAAGGTCATATGATAAGGGTCAAATGATTCAGAATAGTGTCAAGTCACAATCAGTGTAATAGTAATATAACAAGAAGGAAAATGAAAAAGAATTGTGTGAATAAATGCATATTGAAATCTCAAAAAATAAAATACTTGTTCTTTTGAAGCTTCTGATTGTTCATTATGTGCGTGAATATTTGCTTCTTAAAGTTTCCTTTAACGATATCTATACAATTCACTGAAATGTCACAAGTGTTATCGTATTGCAAATATTTTTGTTATCGTGGATTGTTTATCGTTTGCAGGGAAAACGAATTTACTGCATTTTAATTCAAACCGTACTTTGTAGAGAGACGGAAAAAATATGACAAGTCTGCAATAATACTGTAGATCATTAATAAATATTACTTCATACGAGTACACCACTCTTTATTATAATTTGTATTCGATATATTCAACTATTAGAATCAGTTTTTAGTTCTAAGACGATTTGTATAGTAGCTTCAAACTCACTCAGGATTACTTTTGTCTGAACCAGTTTAACGCTCAATTCTTATTCAATATCCTATAAATTACTTTGCACTAGCACAGACGACTCATCCTCAATATATGTTAAGTGTATATACACGTGAATATATGTCTGTTTGCTGATCTGCATATTGTACCAAAGTATTGATATATAAACTCTATCCAAAACCGACATACTGATTAGACAATAAGTAAGATCTAAAGTTAATCCATTCTTTCACCATCATATGTCTATTAATATGTATCCCTGAAATATAACATTCCCAAAGCATTTCTTATTATTTCATTGTGAAGTGAACTTTTTACAGAAAAGGATAAGAAAATGTACAAAATTGATCAGGGGTCGAGTACGAATAAATTCAGATATGTTCACTAAATATGATATAATTTGCTACATTTGTAAGTTTACATTTGGTAAGGTAAACAACCGCAGCAGAAAAATAGAGTACATGTAATTACAGAGAGAAAATGTCTATTTTTTTAAAGTGAAACTGTACTGTCCTGTTTCTTGAATAAATTATTCATTCTTTTTTTCGATTTCACGCAACGGTATTTTTAAATTTCACCATTTAGTTAGTTTGTTTGATATTGAACTATGATGTTTTTCCTTACAAACATAATTTTACTTAGGTTTTGATGACTTTTCATTTTCGTTATTTTATATATTTTAGATTTTATGCTTATTGTTATTTTTTTTATTTCTATTACTACTCTTCACTTGACATACTATCGTCAAATGGTTGTCCTTTTAAAAAAAATTATCGCATCAAAGGTTAGAATTTCTTGGCGATTCCATTTTGGGCCATATTATCAGCAACTATCTGTTTCAAAAATGTCCTCACTCATCCCCAGGTTAGCTTATTTTAAACTATTTATTTTCACTTCAGATGTAAATGTGACGAAAAGTTTCAAAAATATTTTCAATACATAACTAAACGTGTAAAACTATTCCAGAAAAACGAGAGTTTAGATTCGTCATAGATTTACTAATAAAGCCTTTCCTTAAAATCGTACACGGCAATTTATATGATGGTCAAAGATTAAGCCTGATTGCCCCGACCGTTCTTGCTACCTTGACGTAGTGGTCGGGCTTGCCTATCGTGATGAAGCAACCGAGCTATACTGGCTGGAACAACTGTTCCTCAGGGTCCTACCATGTCAGACAGGTCGGTTGAAGAGCGGTAAGACTAAAAGCAACAAACCCAAGGTCCGAAGGCGAAGTCGTACTGCTGACTGTACAGAGGTGTGACAGCAGTAAGGTGTTTCCTTCAAGCAACCAGCATGACAGCGATGCTGCCTTCCCACAAGGAGGGGTGGGGTTAGAAAAGGTCGACCCTAAAAACGCACACCTCGCCTTATCCCACGGATATCCATCTCCGGCAGTAAGGTCTCAACAAGTACGGAGCTAACACAAAAATTACCCATAGAAAGGTCGTGTGTGACCGACCTCAAGCAGTTGTCCCTTGGGCACTGCGGTCACGCTCCCGAGTCACTAAGACCACCCCGAATCCAAATTCCTTTTCAGGTACCTCCAGAACAACCCTTCCACGGTGTGGGCAACCGGGAAGTGGTAACCGCCCTCATACCTCTAACAGCACTCAAGACCACTGTATTAATAATCAACCTCTGTCTTCACTTTCTATTATTCCTCCTACATCGACTTTCATTTCTAAATTTCCTCTTTCAGCTTCCTCCTTAAGTGTCACCATAGCCAACAATCCTAGTGCTCAAAACACTGTCCCAGGTCTACTGAAACCTCACTGCAAACTACACATTGGAGCCTTCAACGTACGCACCCTATGCCAAATCGGTCAACAGGCTTCCTTCGCTAGAACCCTAGAATCTCGTACCACTGGTGTATGCTGTGTCTCTGAAACACGCATACAGGATCCCAGTGTGGTCATTCACTTGACCTCACCTCGGCAAAACGGAGAGCCGGCGAGACACACCCTCCGTGTATCTGGTGACCCGACGGCCAGCTCTCGTGGACTGGCAGGAGTAGGCATAGCACTAAGCATGAGGGAGGAACAAGCACTGTTAGAGTGGATCCCCGTTAACAGTCGTTTATGTGCTGTTCGGCTAAACGGCTCCGTAAGAACTCGGAAGGATAGGGACACACGTCGTTGCCTTTTTATTGTTTCTGCCTACGCTCTTACTGACTGCAGCTCAGATGAAGTGAAAGATGAATTTTACAGAAGGCTATCTGAACTTCTTCAGAAAGCTAAACGTTCAGACATATTACTCGTAGCAGGTGACTTTAATGCCCAGATAGGCAGTTTAAACCAAACAGAAAGGCATTTAGGTGGGTATTTCAGTATTCCGGTTCAGCGAACAGATAATGGTGATCGTCTGCTGCAACTGTGCTCAGACAATCGTTTATTTTTAGCAAACACAAATTTTAAGCATAAGGAAAGACATCGTCTATTATGGCGACCCCCTACACCAAACCAACGATGGACTCAAATAGACCATATTGCCATCAGTCATCGTTGGAGAGGGTCGGTAGAAGATTGTCGCTCATTCTGGAGTACCTGCTTGGACTCCGACCATGCCCTAATACGGACACGCATCTGCTTGCGCCTCACTGGACGCAAAAAAGCCTCAGGAAAAAGACCCATTAGAACTGGATTGAGTAGCGAAAAACCAAAAGTAGGTTCCAGGAACAACTGAGGTCACAATTAGGTAGTTCTGAAAACGAGGTTGACCCAGATGTTGCTTGGAAAGCTATAAAAACAGCAGTGACATCTATCAGTGATTTAAACCACAGGGTTACAAAGAACCAATAGATTTCCTCTAGGTCTATTGCACTGATGGATTCTCGTAAACTCATCCCATCAGGCTCTGAACACGATGAAGAGCAACAACGAATCAGATCTAGGTTAACCAAAAGTCTATGGAACGACCGTGAGAATTGGTGGGCAACGAAAGCAAAAGAGATGGAAAGGGTGGCGGCTATAGGGGACACAAGACAGCTCTACAGACTAATAAAAGAAACTGGAATTAATAAATCAAGTGTAAGTCAGACTATTTCGGAAAAAGACGACACCCTCTTCTGCTCTCGGTCCAGACGTTCAGAACGGTGGGCGGAACATTTCAGAGAACAGTTCAGCTGGCCTTCAGCTACTCTACAACTACCCTCCATTCCCAGACAGTGTGAATGGAACATTGAAGTAGGTTCCCCAACTCTAGCAGAAGTTCAAAAGGCTATAGTTAATCTGAAACGAGAAAGGGCAGCTGGTCCAAATGGATTGGCTCCAGAAGTCTTTAAGGATGGTGGTCCAATTTTAGCGATTAGGCATACTTATCGGCGTCCGACAATAACAGTCTTTCTTGACTTAAAAGCAGCATTTGACTCTGTAGACCGCGAGATTCTGTGGCAGTGTCTGTCATTGAAAGGCGTACCTCAGAAGTACATAAACCTTGTGAAGGCTCTTCACTCGAACACTACCAGTCGAGTCAGAGCTTATGACGAACTGTCATCTGCTTTTGCAACCTCAAGTGGTGTCCGTCAAGGCTGTCCACTTTCTCCATTTTTGTTTAACTTCATCATAGACCTATTGATGGAAATAACATTCTCGTCTACTGAATTCTCGGGTATTGATCTCCTACCAGGAGGTCCACTTATCGACTTAGAATACGCAGGTGATATAGTCCTGTTTGGTGAAGACGTTGATAAAATGCTGAGTCTTCTGGTAGCACTAAGCAACAATGCCAGAATGTTTGGAATGCGCTTCTCTCCCTCTAAATGCAAGTTGTTGCTTCAGGACTGGTCTGCGTCAACACCTGAACTAAGGATAGGGAGTGAAGTAGTGGAACGCGTTGACAACTTCACTTATCTTGGAAGTCTGATCAGCCTTAATGAGTTGGTGTCTGACGAAATCCCAGCACGCATTCGAAAAGCTCGCTTGGCTGTTGCCAAATTACGTCACCTATGGCGAAGGCGAGATATCCGTCTATCAATAAAAGGACGAGTATACTGCGCGGCAGTCCGTTCTGTTTTAATTTACGGCTGCGAAACATGGCCATTAAGAGTAGAAGACACTCGTAAGCTATTAGTATTTGACCACAAATGCCTTAGAAATATTGCTGGCGTCTGCTGGGATCACCGGTTAAGTAATAGTGAGGTTAGAGGCAGGGTATTAGGGAATGATGGTAAATCAGTTGATGCGGTTGTGAATCTTCATCGACTGAGATGGTTGAGTCACGTGTTACGTATGCCGGTTACCACGACGCTCAATGCTGACTAATAGTAGTAATAGTAATAATAATAATGTGAATCGTTGACTGTTAAATGAAGCAAGACAAGTATTTTCCATAAATATCGACATTTCATCGTATTTGTGTGTGGGCTGTAATACTGCCCGGGTACCCAGACCGAAGCAGGTGGTTTTCATGGGGGGCCACACCCCGAGCATTTGACCTAAAGGTCTAACCCACAGGGCAGTGGAGCATCGTGAGGAGATGCAGTCCCATGGTAGCCGGTGACCAAGATTGGTTCATACACCATTTGTTCCTGCAGGATACTGGAGCCCATGTGCATCATTGGTTTGGGATCCGGTTAAAGCACCGGACATCTGCTTTTCGCCCTCTCATTTTCGTAGACAACACCCCCGCCACGAGGAGGCAGTGAGTAGGACTTCCCTGGCAGATGCTGTATACGCGTGGCCGTGTGAGAGCATTTCGAGAGGAAGGGTGTGCCCACCTCACTCTCGGCCATACCAGGGCATTTGGGGGCTCCTCCTCAGCAGTTATCTACTTTCAGTATTTTGCGATACGTTTGATTCCAAATGTGATATGTTTTTACATAGTCACAGTTGATTGTATGTAAGCATTTTTCAATACACATTATCTGTTGGTTCAATGTCAATGTGTGATATCATTTTAGCCTGTCAAGTTTTAGTAGTTTTTAATTCATTAATGTTAAGTATTTGTTATATACTATTTGGTATCAATTAAATATTATCTAAAAATTACTTTATTAGGATAGTAAAAATAATTGTATCACTGTGTTGCTCTTGAAGAATCAGTGTATTTAAGAAAATATCGTTTTGTTATTGTTGGTTGTTCATTGTAAATATCATTGTCAAGAGCTAAACTAGTAGTTATCAAAAATAGTGACAGAATTCTGATCAGGGAACTGGCTAGATCAGCGTTAGGTGGTTGATATTGTTATTATCTAGTCACATAGACTAGTCGCCATACAGCAACTTAATCGTTAGAAACTCATTGGCTTAATGAATAGACAGAAGTGACACCATTAACTACTCAGGGACCAATCACCACAACTGACTGGGTTGTTTGAAAAACGGGGCTCCGACATCCTGGAATGTAGCCGTCCTTCTTACCATCTTTTAAAAGGGCCTGCATAATCCATAAAATAGCCATCTGGGGTTGTCCAGTTTCGATTGAATTCAAATTACTGACTTCCGTCATACTGCGTAGACATTTAAAAACGGATTCAAGGGCAGACGGGTTTTCGTTCAGTTTTTAGATACATTGAGCATATCTTTGCCTTCCATCAACTGTTAGAATACCGTCATACTTATTGCAGGCCAACAATTGTACTGCTTCTTTGATATCAGAACTGTCTTCGATTCATTGAACAGAGTTGTGCTCTGGAATTGTCGGTTGGAGAAGAATGTACTCGAGAAGTTTATTAACATCTTGAAAACTCTGTATACAAGCACCTCAGTCAGAATGAGGAAATATAACCACCTCTCGTCATTTACCCATTCAAGCATCGTGGTTAAGCAACTTTTCTCAGTCTCATCATTACAGTCCAACTTTTCCACTGACTACATTCTGGAAACAGCTGTGATGTAGGTAATGGTGGTATAGACGAAGGACTCTTTGATCTTGAGTATGTCAATACTTTACTACTTTAGTCCATATTTGAAGCTGTCGTGATGTTAATATACGTGTAAAAGGTAGGGTTTACACTGTCTGGCCCCTGCGAACTAAGGATGTTTGATGATTCTCTGTGTTTGATCGTCATTGCATCCGACGGAACGTTCACATCTGGCGACAAAATTATTTTAGTGATGTTGAGGTTAATTATAATTTATTTGTTACTCCCCGTTATTGTTTGTCATTCGAAACTTGGCTTTGATTTGTTTCGATAAATTATTGAAGCTGTTGAAAAACATTTTTAGTCAAATAATGTGTAGTTTTTCTGCTTGTACAACTGGAAAAGCGAAAAATGAACTTCATCGTTGAGCCATCTAGTTGCATTTGAATATAAATCATAATTAGTTTTCTAACATTGTTATATTAATAGAAATCAACAATAATTATATATGTTCTCTTCCAGGCGCATTGACCACCGCACGATCTACTGTTGTCAGTAATATTAATTTAGCTAATGTTGTTGTTGAGCATGAAATCCATCCGTTCATCGATTTTGGGAATTGCAGTCAGAAAGCATGCATTGATGATATAAAAAGTATTCATCGTCAAACCGATTCACATTTTGAACGTATTGAGGTAGACTACTACACCTCTTTTATAGTTTAATACTTTTTGCGTAATAAAATCAATATTGTTCGCTGAGTATATTTTATAAGAAATTATGTAGATGGCTTAAATGTTGCCTAGTATTCTTAGTACATTCTATTGTGGGATCATTTATTTCCTATATTAATTGAGTTGGTACAGTCATTGGATGCTAATTACCTATTTTTAGAAATCAGTTAATAAATTTCGACTATGTAATAAGAAGACGAAGATTATCAGAACTATGTGATATATTAGCGCAATTCATTTCGAACAATCTGATCACACATATACTTGTTAAGAACATTTATATATAGAAATAAAAGGTCAACTAGACTGGAAATGGGAGTAAGAAGAGAAAAGGATAATAATAAGAGTAATAATCATGTGAACACTAATTGAAACCTAATCACTCTGGCTATTATCAGGGTAATATTGGCTTATTATCCAGTGATTAGGTTTCAAGTTGTGTTCACATTATTATTATTACTCTTATTGCTGTTATCCTTGTCTCCTCTTACCCCTATTTCCAGTCTAGTTGACCTTTTATTTTTATATACAAATGTTCTTAACAAGTATATGTGTGATCAGATTGTTCGAAATGTGCCACCAGCAGGAGAACTGTTTAGATCCAGGGAGCACTAGATATTTGTTTTAGTCTAGGTTGGAACTCCTCAGAAGTATGGAACTGGCGATCCTTAGGTGATCTCAAACTGTGACGTAAAACAACTTTGTGTCATTGTAAACTGTTGAATTAATACTACGACTAGTTGTAGTTGGCTATTCGATTAACCCGTTGTTGATATTTTGACTGAAATTTGGCTGGCATGTGTGGATCCTGTGCGAATCGGCTCTGAAAAGTCCCAAATATGACGAAACTCTCGTTCTAGATTCCACTGCAAGCCACATTCCATCTATTCTATACTAACTTGTGATTAGTAATGTTTATATTCCACATTTAATTTTTTCCCTTATTGGCTTCATAATAGTGACACTGATATCAACAATACGAATGCATTCATTCTTTGCCTTTCTATAAGTGTTGGGCACAGTATTACTTCTTAATTACATTCACTTTTTCCTCTTTTTTTATTTCAAATTACTATTAATCTTTTGATCTTTATTTCCTTAGTTGTCTGTTTTTATTGACTTTTGTTAAAATTTTATCCTCTCAAAATGGATTTTGATTTTTTTCCAACGTAAACGTCTTCCATTGACTCACCAAGTTTTAAATAGAAGTTATATTCATCTGTTTGACTATCATGTTATGTTTTGAACCATTAAATGGATGGTACGTATTTACTAAGACCTATGGATTAAGGTTTATGTGTGCATCGATTAGGTTTATTTTGATTTAGTTTTTTGACTTAATAGAAGTGTTATTTTGAAAATCCATATTTGCTCTATAACTATTTATTTAGATGCTCTGAACGTGTTTATGTTCCACAATTTTAGTTAATTACAAAGAAGGTTTCTTCGGGGCTCAATATCAAGGTATTGGCTGATGTGTTTGAATCGATTCTCGGTGCAATTTTTGTAGACAGTGATGGTAATCATCAAGTCGTTTCTTCTATTATTCATCGATTCTTGGGTAAAACGATGAGTACGTTTTTCCTTATTAAAAATTCACGACTGTATTGGGTATCTTCGAAATGCTACTGATTTTTTAACCCTTTCTTGTTACTCTCTTACCTTTGTTTTCACCTATAAATGCATGTGTATGTGTGTTAGTTATTTTAGATAACTTCATGTAGTCGAATTATAATGAAATTTATTTCCAGATTGTTGACACTCTTCAAAATTCACTTGCATACTTGAAGAAAGAGATTCTGTTTCATAGTTTTCGGTTGTATGAATAAATTACCGACTCGGCATACCTCAATGTTATTCATTATTGTTCGAAAAATTCTGAAGCTTCAAAGTCAGTCAACATTTTCCTAGAAATAGCACTTTCATACTTACCTACTGTTCCTTACTAGTGGAGTATCGAACGGATTACGACTACAGTTATCTGCAGAAACCTCTAGGACTTCAGGTTCACTAGTAATGATGAGACATATCATAATAATAAACGAATGTCATTGTGGTGTACGCTACGTAGTATATAACACAAATCGGAAGTGGAAGGATAGGACGGGAAAATAGAAAGGAATTGTCAACTGGAAGAAACATGCAGAATATGAAGGACAAATGATAGAAATTTGCAAACGAAGTATTCAGCATATGGTTCTTACATTTTACAGAGACACTCCGCAATTTCGTATTTTAGAAAATCAATCTGTTGTTCGCACATGTGTTCTCGTTCATTACAACATCACATCCCTAAATTCCTTTTAAACCCAGTTTCTTGAACAAAGTAAGCTGGATGGTATGAAAATCAACTCGTGTTGTCTATCCGAGAACCGTAAAGTATTACAAAATCACTCCCCAGCTTTTCTTAAGTTAGTGACCCACTAAGCCTCAGAGAAGAGGCTGTACTAGTCGACTGAATCGTCATTGCCAGTCGATTACATGCTGCTATGTAAGAATGCTACGTCAAAGTGGGATTTAGAAAACAATGTTCTTTGCTCACCCCTCTCTATGCCCGAATTGATTTCAGTCCAGATGAAATCAAGGATGAGTTTAGCACCAATTAAATGGTCTAAAGAAAACCCGTTTGGTAAACATTGTAATGATAGCTGGAGATTACAATGTGCAAGTTGGGTTTCTATGTACTTAGGAGTCATTTGGGTGTCTAAACAGGATTTGTTGGTTTTAGGTCAAATAACGGTGACCGCCCCCCTGAAATTTGAGTAGATCACAATCTACTTTCGACCAGAACCAACTTTTGGCACAGTCATCACCAGTGTATTACCTGGTATCCTCCCCTTGCATCTCAAGCCTGGACCCAGATTGGCCACATCGCGATTAGCTGCTGCTGGCGTGGTTGTGTAAAAGACTTCTGCTCCCTGTGGAATATTTATCTGGACTCTGATCATGGTCTCGTTCGAGCTAACTTTATCTTACGTTTCAGTGGCCGACAACTTCATCGCCATAAATGGATCGATGTCATCAAATTAGCTGCACTTTTTGTTGTAGCTAAACATCAAGCCGAACTAGGTTCAAGACTATCAACTCACCGAAAAGTGTAGATGAGCATTGGCTACAATTGCATGACGCCATAAAAGTTGCGAGTAAAGTCGCTTGCGGCTTTGCGAAACGTCCCACTTAGAAGGACTTGACTTTTACAGGCTCCGTACAACTCATTGAAGCACGTCAGTTCACTGCAGCCAACCACGAGTTTGATCATAAACGGAGATTGTTACGTAATGAAAATGTGAAAATTTTGCGTAAGGACCGAGAAGCCTGGTAGTTGAAGAGTGCTAACGAGTTGGAAGCAACAGCTCCATTTGACAAATGCCGGATGTTCTTTCAATTCATTCAAGTCACTAGCAGAAAGATGTCTGGTGTGGGTGGAACCTGTTGTAACGTCAACAAAAATCACCAGGCCCAGACGATTTGCTTCCAGGCCTTTTTATAGACGGCGAGGAACTTTCGGTTCGAGACCTGTGTTGTTTGAAAATATTTGATCGACAGTGTTACATCATGACAGAATGAAGTGGTAGCTAACTATATTTTTGGAAAGATTGTTCGTCATCTATGCAACAATTATCGGAGTAAGTCTACTTCTGATCGTATCGAGACCATTGGCTTCTGTCGTACATCATAGATTGTTTAAATCTGGGGAAAGATTGACTTGTGAGAAGCAGACTGGTTTTCGTCCAGTTTTTTGATGTGTTGATCACACCTTCACTCTTCGCCATATAGTTTATCAGAAATGGTTCAAAATAAAAGTCAATGGCGATCATGTTGTAACTTTCTTTTGCTTTCTTCATGAAAGTGAGCTTAACTTATTTAACTGGGACAATTCTGGTTGTATTTTTCCCACCATAATAATAATAATAATAATAATAATAATAATAATAATAATAATAATAATAATAATAATAATAATTTAACCATCATACAGTAATTTCTATTCATTTCTGTTCTTATTTTTTATTATACTCACTTTTCTTTCTCCATCTCTTCATAACCTCACTTTTATTGTGCCACATATATATTTGATGCCTATTTGTGCCAATGTTTATATGTCCAAATAAACATTCCGGATCATATTATAATCTGATGAAGTTGTATCTCCATAAAAGCGACATGTGACTTTTTGTCAGTTGACTTTTTTTAGGTTTGTTTGTCTGAAGTAGTTTTATGTCCATTTCGTTATTAGAAAGCAAAACACATTTCAGTTAATTTTTACTTACAATACATGTATTGGTTAATGTAGTTTTCATCCACTTATAATTGTTGATGTGATGATACTTAGGGCTTTAAATTTCGGTATATAAGGAGATTCGATTCAAATTCGCTAGATGCCATCTTTAAGCGGCTGTATGGACAACTGTTTAATTTTTTTTTTGGTTCCAGTTTTGTTATGAAGGTATTCATTATTATGAAATTCACTTTGTATTGTAACTCTTTGATCATTTATTAAGAAAAAATTGATGTTTTTATCTTCTGTTTTTTTTCAGATTCTCTCATTACTAATTTACCTGTTCAAACAGTTCAACAAGTGGATTTACCATATCCTGAAATACGATATAAGTAGGTCAAATATGTGTTTTTTCTTCCAATGCCGCTAAAAGACTGGTTGTAGCTCGGTTACTTAATCCTGTTCGGAATTCATGTGCACGTTATCTGGTGACTTAGTGGTAAAATCTCTTTCCCTCTTACAAATTTGTGGCACCACTGCTTCTGCCTATATGGTCTGCATTTCGTTCTAGTGGTGCATTAAGTGATATTAAGTACTATGCATGCAGACACTTAACGAGCATCATCCACAACCAATCGCTTATCTTCAAATAACTTCAAGTTAATCATTTATTCTTTTCTATTCATTATCTTTTAAAATATTCGCCCAACAGTTATAATATCCATAGTTCTTTAAAATATTTGTAAGAAATTTTTGCATGTTTACTTACATCTGTTACCCGTTGTGGAGCATTGACCGTCGACAATGGCTCCAAATAAATCTCTCCTGGGCTCTCGATTCGCGGTTAGTGTTTTCCTTTTAATACCTGCCTCCGATTCCCGGAGCAAGGTGTTCTTTGGTCTGCCCCTTGTCGTTTTGCCTTGAGGAATTAAAGTTAGGACATTCTCCGTGGTACCGTCTAATGATTTCTGTAGCATGTGTCCTATCCAACTACAGTGTCTTTTCTTGATTTCAATTGCAGCTGGAAACTGATTTGTACCCTACCACATTCGGTTGTTGCCGATATTATCCAGCCAACGAATTTGGATTATCTTGTGTAAACAACTGCGCATTAATATCTGCATTTTCATGCTGGTGGTTGTGGTAATTCTTCATTTTTCTGGTCCATGCAATGAAATATTTTTAAAGTTGGTGTTGAGAATTCAAACTTTGATGTTGTCAGACAGTTGTTTCGAGTTCCATATATTCTTTGATCTTAGGAATGCTGCCCTTGCTTTGCCACTCCGTGCCTTCACATCTCTATCACATACCTCATGTTTATCAATGATGTCCAGATGCATGAAAGTCCTCCACCTCTCCCAAAGCTTTTTCCTTTGTGAATGTTAGACCTGCTGCTGATACACTGAATACCTTCACCGGTATCTGTTGTCGTATAAGGAATAGGAGAGCTAGGTCATCTGTGAAATCCAAATCGCCTAACTGTATTCTATCTATTCATTGTATTCCATGCTGCCCCTAAAATGCAGAGGTTTTCATATTCGAGTCAGCCACCAGAAGAAAGAGAAAGGGCGAGGGTATGTAGCCTTGTCTGACATTGGTCTTCACTTGGAATGTATCTGTCAGCTGCACTCCATGCACGACTATGCAATGTCCGTCGTATGAATTTCGTGTGGTGTTGACTATCTTCTAAGGTGTTTTAGGAGGCTACAAGGTCCCTTCGATCCTTGCTTTAAAATGCTTTCTCTTCGTCATAGAAGTTAACGTATCATAGCGGGTTCCATTCCATTGAATAACCTTGTATCATTGTTTGGATCTTCTCATTAGCATTTAGAACTGCAGTCGATAAGTCTCCTACTGGCATATCTTCGTCCTGTACGAATTTCCTCGATATTGCCTTAAAATGGGAGGATTATTAGCAGAGACGAATGATTGCTAGCAGTAGAATTCAGAGCGTGCGTTTCGTTCTCTCTGGGACACGTCAAATGAATGTACCTGAATCACATAGTTGGTGTTCACTCCGCGACTCATACCTAGTACTTTGCGTATCGGACCCCATTTTCCTTATCCACTTAGCTACTAAGTTCAGATGGCTTCTGGAATAGGATGAGGTTTAATTCGTCTTGTATTGGCTATTTAAATATCCTCAAATAGGAGGAAACGCGCGTCCTGTAATACACTGCTAACCACCATTCGCCTCTGCTTACAATTCTCACACTTGCCCAGATCTACTTTTTCTGGTATCTTGAAGAGGTGTCCTTCTTTCAGTCTATCAGCACTTGTTCCCAAATCTTTCTGAATGGAATGTGGAGCATCTTCGTAGTCACCTCTATGTCTGACTTCAGTGCTTCATCTTGTACGTTTTCCGGGTTTACTGATTTCCCACTCTTGATTTCTTTGATTTGAGTGACAAGTATAAGGTGGTCTATGTGTGCTGTTTCGATGTCTGATGGGTTCAGTAGGGTTGGTCTATTTTGGAGCTCTTCAAAATCCTATATCCTCTTGTTCCTCTGTTCTTGAATCTCAGTGATTGGCTTTCCTGTTTTCTTGACTGTTTTTTCTTGGCTTAATTTATTTCCCTGTTGGTTTCTTCGTTCGGTCATACAGTTCTTGCCCACTTTTTTTGCAGCTCGTTTTACTGTAGTTACCAGTTCATATACCCATTTCCACTTGTCAACTCGCATGCTCTTTCCCTATTATTCGTTTGCTTCTGTATGGTCAGCCTGTGTCTTGACCTTTTCTGCTCTTGTTTTGCTGTTGTTGATTGCCGTTTTGTTCTTCCTTTCTTGAATCCTCCTTAGGGTTCCAATAAAGATCCATTCTTTATGCTGGTGTTTCTTACGGCTAAGCACGTCCTGTATTTTTGAAGTTGTTGCTTTTTATCCCCTTTCAGATATTTTCCATAGTGGTTTCCTTTTCTGTGAATAGATCTTGTTAAATTTGGAACATGTTTCTGGGAGCTATATTGAATTTGTCGAGTTTGTCTGTATCTCGAAGAAAGGACGTATTAGACCTATCTAGTGATGATCATTCAATTCGTTAGCTTTAGTTTCATTTTGGCCACCACCAGGTGATGATTTGAAGCTATATCTTCTCTTGTCGTTCTCACATCCTCTATGGTGTAAATGTAATCGATCTGGTTTTCAGTGTGATCCGGTGAAACACATGTAGCTTTGTCTATTCACATAAATTTCAGATCTCTCATCATTCTCGTTCCTTTCCCCCAGTCTATGTTGTCTCATGATAGCTTCATACTTGATGTTTTTCATTACAACTTAAGCGTTCAGGTCTCCCATCAACATGGTCATGTCCTTTCCTGAACACTTCTCTATGATTGACTGCAGCTGTCCGTAAAGTTGGCCGTTTTCATCTTCATTGCTGTCATCGACAGGGGATAGTACTAGATAATATTTTTTGTAATCTTCCCAGTTATTTTTGAAGGCCGTTCTGATGATTGCTGGATTCATGAGATTCCCATCCTATAAGTGTTTATCATGCGTCTTTGGAAAGCATCAATTCAACTCCCTGAGTGTGCAAAGCATTTTGTTCTTCACGACTGGAGTACAACAGCATCTCTGGAATCCTATTTTTTCTATTCAGCCTGCGTTCAATGGGTTTGACCTATTCCGAGCACCTCCAGGTTGTATGTCTTCACTTCCACAGCTATTTGACTGACGCTTCCGGTCTCCTGTATTGTGCGAACATTCCATGTGTTGATTAGTAGTTGTTGTTAGAAGGGACACCGGCCTTGTGATGTTTAAGGAGTCTCGGCTTACACAAGGACGTCATAGCTCCTGTTCTGGTGATGTTTTGTGGCTAGCTTTCTCAACAAAGTTGTTTTCTATGGGATGATTTCGCTAACCATGTGCTCAATCCTCCTCTTAGAGAGAAAGAACAAATATTGGTTCTCTCTTTAAGATAATAAAGGGAACTATGTGTATGAAATAATCCTCCTTTATCTGGGCTCTGGAATGACAGCAACGCTGGAAAAGCTCTAATCGAAGTTAAACTTCTGTATAGATGGTTTTTATAACCGTTTCACACCTACTGAACCAAACAATCAGGAACTCCATAACTCGATTACTAAGTGGTACTGATTTTCTTCGACGATATGTATAAAAAGTATAGATATAGAACACCTGTATAGTTCTTAACAGTGTCTATGAAGTCAGTCAGTTCCCACAAAGTTGGGTATGTTCACGTTTTCGGTAACAAAATTTATTCCTATATAGAAAGGAATTTGTTTTGATAATGGGCGATCAAGCAGGAACATTATAATTATATTGGATTCGAGAATTGCGCGATAAATTATTTTTCTATAACAGTATACATTTAAAACATACAAGGAACGAAGTTTCTATTTTTTTGCGTATTTATTGAACCAAGCAAAATCATCAAAAATTCGATCATTCAACATAATAGCTGGTATAACATAGGGTCAGGTAAATTCGAACTAAGCACATTCAGCAAAAGACGGGGTAGAATCAAGTAAATGATCAAGGCTCAAAACTTAGACAAAATAACAATCTCTTAATGAATCAAGAGTTGAACTCCATGCACATTATTATGGAGGGTTTGGGAGGATAAAACAATATACTCATATGGAAGGGATTATCTCACACATGCACGCCTATCTATCTACATAACATACAAAAAGTATTTTACCACGGTTCTTTTGATTTTTCGTTTCACTTGGTGAAATCTAAACTATCACATACTTCTACTTTACTTCAATGCATGTGTTCATCGTGCATGATATAAAGAATTCTTAGAATTCTTTTTTAACATGTATCAGGTTTAATGAAATTTATACCGGTTTTTTTATGTTACCAACTTTAGTAGACCACATATCTTTATTGTTACGCGGTTTACATTATTATGTTACTGGGGTTTCGAATTATGATTTCCAGGTATTGTACTGGATTCAGGATTCCTCCAAATACTTTCTTGGTAATTTTAATTCGTCTAAGCATGTTCAAAACCATAAGGTCACAAAATAATCGAGAGGTGGTGGGATTTCATTCACAGCTTCTGTTGATATATCATATACACTGAAGTAAAGAGGTCGGTATCTGGTTTCAACCGATCTATTTATCGTAACTGCTTTCTTGACGTGGTGATCAGGCTTTCAAATAGTTCTGATTCAATTGAACTTTATTGACTGTAGGAACTACCATGCTAGGCTGATTGGTTTGAGAACGGTGGATGGATTTATACTGATAACTTTCAAAATAGACTCATCGATGGGTCCAGATTGACCACATTACCATCAGTCGTCTTCAGAGAAGCCTGATATAAGTCTGTCGCCTATTATGGAGAACTTTCAGGCTCTTGATGCTTTAGTATGAGCGCACCTTTGTCTGTGTTTCAACAAAAGCACTAACGACACAACGGCAAAACTTCGAAGTCCATGTTAACGATAAAATAATCAAGATTATATTTTTTATGAACGACTAACATGGCAGTCAATCATCAGAGTGATTTTCATTTCGGTTTAGTCTGGTTTGATACTCGAATGGCTGTGAAAACAGAATTAAAATAAATGTCTATTGCATTAGTCTACGCTCGAAAACTGATCCCACAAGTCTACTCATCAAACATGGACCGTGGTAGCCAGCGAAACGAAAGGAATTCGGAACTGACGGAAGTAATATGCAGCATGAATCACAAACTAACAAATGTTCCCCAATTTCGTACTGTAGAAACATGATCAGTCTAGATGCTTGCCAGTGGTTGGTTTACCTTTTCGCACACATGTAGTGTTCTATGATCCATTGAGTGATCGCTGTTTTGCTCGAGAGTAGTGCAATTTCGGTCATATGTTACTTGATGTAAAGCTAATTATATGTGTTTAATAGGAATTTGGCGTCGTTTTCGTGTTAATGTTGTTGATATACAGTGACAAATAATCAGACCAACTTGAAGGACGTCAATCAACAAGTAATCCTTCACTCCCACTTGTTTTATCGCCTTTGGTTATATTTGCATCTGATCGGTTTTCTTTATTTGATTCTTGATTGTAACTCCGAAATTTCACTTCTACAAACAAATTAACTTCAACTTCTAGTTTTTTTCCATTATATTGTTCTTGGTATTACCTCTTCATGTGTAATTTAATGAATAACGTGAAAGTTGAGTTTTTTTTGTATCAAATATTTATTCACGGTCTTATGCTTAGCAGTTGACTCTTAGTTTTAATTAAGCCGATTGGTTTGTTTGATAATTTATTTGTCCTGTTTAAAATTTTCATAATTTTCACAGCAACTCAACTACTATATCACCAACGTTACATGAAGATGTTCATAATTCGGTTTTATCGATTAAAGGTAAGCGCCTATGTGTGACGGAAAATATGGAAAATTGTTCTCGTTTCCGACTTGTTGAAGAAATTTGATGCATGGAACAACAAATAATACTGATGATCAAATCAAACAATATTTTTGTTGAGATTTATTATTTCCCGAGCATTTTATTTTTTCTACAAAAATGCTTTGAGTATTCTATCTTGTATTTTTTATAAAGCTTTTCTGTTTTCTTATTCACAATAGTTCTAACTAGAATTATGCATAATCTTTTTAAATGACAAATAAAGCGAATTATCCATAACTGATAAAATGACTTCTCAGTTCAATTCGCTTTTCGCAAAACTATGCTTCCTCAAAATGACATTTTTACTGCTAAGGTTTGTCCACAGCATATTTATTACAAAGATGTCGTTAGGTAACATTAAGTTTCACCACTGTGGTAATGAGTACGCTGTCTAGTTTATATACGGTATGTTGTGGGTTGTTTCATTGTGGCAGTCCTTATGCTACGGTGTTCAGATAACAAGTGCATTCATACAACTCAGCAATGTAGTAAGAAAACCTCAATATACGAACTCTGGAGACGTTTACAGTCTAGGTAGCTTCATTCAGGTATTTCCTTATAGATGTACAAGTGACTGCATATAAGCAGCGTCTCTTTCCACAAGTTAGAGGTATATATCTAAATTAAGGTAGGTTGACTGGTGACTCAAGGTACGTTATTATAGGAATAAATCTCAAAGTTGGACTTGGTGGTTTCAAATGAATTGAGCATTGTGCGGAAAGTTGGTAAAAATTATGTTTTCGTTATATCCCAAAAGGAAGTTGCATTCCTCACGTTTCATGACTTATTGTGGGACAATTCCTCATAGTCAGTAAGTCATCATCGGTGCTCTCTGAAGAGTTCCGGAACAGTTAGTTTACGTTTCACTAAATTATTGGGCGAAATTAGTGAACCGATAGGCTACCATCAAGTGACATTACATGTGTCAGGCAGAATATTTTATGGTGTGTGACCACATAAAAATAGTGCTTATCGGCAAATAAATCCCCAAAATAAATAGCTCTGTAAGTTTTCGACATTGGATGCTGATCACACTGGTTTTATTGGATCCACTTAGCTGAAGGCGCTCGATCATGCATCCACACCAGATCACGGGTGGGAACGCGGTGCTCAACATCCCCTGCAATCGCTGACTAGATTAGATCAGTCGATCCTCAATATATTGATAGTCTATCAAATATACCTTCGAACCTCCTCGCTTCTGTCTCTTCATCTCACTTGGTTGGTACGATTCATATTAGGTGTTACTGGTTAGAGCATTGTCAAACTCCAAATACCTGTGCATCTTCATTGGTGAGCCCGACGTGATCTGGTACACCGAATAGCAAACTGTGAGTTTGCATATGCCAACCGCATCCTAGAAATCTTCTAATACTGAGGTTTTTCAGTCAAAGAAAAACCTCAGACGACCCAGAATGACATTACAGAGTTATGTCATACACTTACACGTTATCTTAGATTTCGTAACGACCGTAAACGGTCACACACCCCTCGAAGAAGCACGTCACGAAAGCGATCTGTCTCTAGACCACGAGAGACGGATAACCACGACTGGTGCTGGTATCATAACCAGTATAGAAAGTCCTCCAGAAATCTCAGAAAACCCTGCAAATTTCCGAACTCAAAACCGACCGACAAGTAAAACAACTCGGAAAACTTCCCAGCCAGCACGCGTTCACGGCGACCGTAGCCGGCAGACATAGCCGTCGTTTATGAGTCACAGATGTGTTAATGAAAGTTCGCTCCCTCTTCGATACTGGCGCAGAAGTTAGCGTTATTCCAGGGAATCCTAACGACCGACTTCATGAATCAGTTTTAAACCTACAGGCAGCGAACGGAAAGCCTATCGCTACATAAGGTAAAATGTACGTTTGCCTTAACGTAGGTTTACGCAAATCCATTCACTGGATCTTCGTTGTTGCAGGTGTTTCTATGCCAATCATTGGTATAGACCTCCTACAACACTACAATCTAATCATCGATACGCGCAAACGGAGGCTAGTAGACGGAAACACTAATTTATCTGTTTGCTTAACCTCTTTTTCTAGTTGCAGATTATCTCCCGTCACAGTCAGGCACACGATAGACCCATCCTATAAACCATTACTCGATACGTATTCTGGGAGATACCAACCGCAACCAAAATTTCCGTGCGTAACCAGCAATGTTACGCATCACATCACGACTACAGGACCTCCTGTATTCTCGAAAGCACGCCGACTGGATCCCGAAAAGCTGAGGTTGGCTTAAAGCAAATTCGATCACATGATAGAGTTAGGAATCATTCAACCGTCAAGCAGCTCATGGGCATCTTCATTGCACATGGTTCCTAAAAAGGACAGCAATGATTGGCGTCCAACTGGTGACTATTGGCGATTGAATGCGAAAACCACTCTTGATCGTTACCCGTTGCCTCACATTCACGATTTGACAGCTACCTTGGAAGGTACAACTGTCTTTTCGACAATCGGCTTGGTTAAAGGGTATAACCAACTCCATATGGGTACTGACAATATTCCAAAATCCCGCTATTATAACACCCTTCGGACTCTACAAATTTTTGCGAATGCCTTTCGGTCTAAGAAATGCTGCCCAAACTTTCCAAAGGTTCATAGATAACGTTTTTCGAGGCCTCAACTTCGTACATGCACATGTTCATGAATGCTTAATAGCCATTCCGGACAGCGAATCGCGTCTCTAGCATCTGGATCTTGTGTTCGAACGACTACAAAAACATGGCATCACGGTAAACATTCAGAAATGCCAAATCGGAGCTGACTCCTTAAATTTCCCAGGACACACTATTGATGCGCAACGCATCCGACCTCTTAGGAAACAAGTCACGGCCATTCTGGATTACCCGGAACCGATCACGACTGGGCATTTGCACACATTTAACGGACTTGTAAGTTTCCATAGACGGTTCATACCGAAATGCGCGTCACTTATGAAACGGCTAACCAACCAACTTCGCGGAAATGCGAAATCCATTAGTCTGGACGATACTGCGCGACAAGCATTCTCCACAGTTAAGAAACCCATAGCAAAGGCAACGATGCTCCAACATCAGGACACTCAAGCGCCCATTAATGTCGCAGTACACGCATCAGACTCAGCAATCGGAGGAGTCTTACAACAATGGGTTAACCACTCCTGGCAACCTTTGGCATTCTTCTCGAGATGGTTGCTAGACACTGAATCGAGGTACAGCACTTTCGGTAGGGAACTCCTAGCTATATATTGTGCTGTACGGCATTTTCGACACTCTATTTAGGACCAACACTTCACTCATTTTACTGATCATAAGCCACTTACCTTTTCTTTAAGTTCATAGTCGGACAAGTACTCACCACGTGAGTCTGGACAACTGGACTAAATTTCTCAGTTTACTTCAGACATTCAACACATTTCTGGAGCAAACAATGTAGTCGCGGACGCCTTGTCTCGCATAACTTCCTTGAATAGTTTTCAAGGAATCGACCTTCTTAAACTCGCCGAGCTTCAAAAAGAAGACACTGATCTTGAGCACGAGTTATCCTCAACAGCCCTTAAGCTGCGCATCAAACAGATGGGAATAGGTAAGGAAACCTTACTCTGTGATACATCTATAGTTAAGGATCGCCTAATCGTACCGAAACTTTATCTATGCAACGTCTTCTATACGTCGCACAAACTTTCTCATCCATGTGTTCGTGCAACCATCAAGCTTATAGCAGAACGGTTTTGCTGGCCTGGCATGAATAAAGACGTGAGGGACTGGGCACGCTTCTGTGTAGGCTGCCAAAAATCTAAGGTCATCAGACATAATAAATGTTCCTTAGGCTCATTTAGAACTCCCGATGCTCGTTTCGACCATGTTCATCTTGATTTGGTAGGACCTTTACTAGATTCAAATGGATAGTCTTACCTCCCAACCTGCGTAGACCTTTTCAATCGATGGCCAGAAGCAGAACCTATCAAGGACGTTGTAAGATCCATTTTGAGTGTGTTGTGTGATGGTGAAAATCCCTCCATGTATATACTTGTACTTTATTCCAATTGATCACATTAGTTGTACATTGTTGTATTTCGATTACATTTGAATTGGTAATATTTGTATTTTTGTTATAGTTTTTGTTTTTATTACGCATTCACTAAGTTTGTGTTTCTTCCTGAACTGCATCTGCGTTGTTTCACTTGACACTTGTTCTTGGCGGTAGCCATATTGATTTGTTCCTCCTGTTGTGTGTGATCTATCCAGTCAGGATAGAATAACGTTCATTTGTTGTGATTGGTAATTTTTCCTCATCTTCTATCAACTTCTTTATTTATTGTAGTTTAGATTTAATTGATTGAACAGTCATTGGTTGAATAGCCGGGTGATAATATTTGTTTAGGTAATGATTTACATTAAATTTATTATGAATTATAGAACCGCTAGTTACCCGATTACTTGTTCTGATTTCGACGGGAAAGGGCGCGTGTCTAAAGTCACGGAAGGCTATTCTTCAACATCCAAACCGTAGTTTGTATCCTACAGACGTTACTGCCGAAACAGTGGCTTGCGCCTTCGTCGAACGATGGGCAGCAAACTTCGACTCTCCTTCAACCGTCACAACAGATCGCAGACGCCAATCCGAATCTGAACGTTTCCTTTGTCTGACCGCACTATTAGGAATCACTCGCTTCCGAACGACCGCCCACCACCCACAAGCATACGAGCTAGTAGAACGCTTTCATCGACAACTAAAAGCTTCACTATCAGCTGCAAACATTTCTCGGTGGACCGGCGCCCTTTCACTCGTCTTACTAAGTATTCGCAATGCAGGAAAAACTGACATTGGGTACAGTGAAGCTCAACTGGTTTATGGAACAACACTTCGACTTCCAGGAGAATCCGTGGATCCTTCGTCTTCTTCAATGAACATGGATTTAACCTCCTACACGAATAGGCTTACAAACGCAATGCGTTCAGTTAAACCTGTCTCCACTTGACCGCAATCAACTGATGTTTTCGTTCAACCTGACTTACGACTTACACACGTTTTCGTTCGTTAAGACTCACATCGACGGCCTCTGGAATCAGCATACGAAGGACTTTTTAAAGTTGTTCAGCGCGAACCAAAGTACTATATAATCGATAAGAACGGAACCAACGTTAGCATCAGCTGCAATCGCCTCCAAGCAGCGCATTTAGATGGAAATCCTATCTACGTCTATTTTCCTTCGATACAAACGAACGACACGACTCCGACACTTAT